TGATGCCTCTGTAATTCTCACACCTGTTGAGATCCAGCCTGTTAATCTCGGGATATTGACTACATTGTAGTATATGATAAAGGGAGCAATCTGCTTAGGAATGTCGATATTTTAAAAATTCAAATAAACCTGGAGTTATATAAACAAGAAATTAATACAGGTTTTAGGCAACTTTTAACCTAGTTTTTTTTACATTTTCATAATGTTCCGATTTTGATTCTATCATCACTATCATCTGAATAAATATTCCACTTTACTATTGATCTTTATTGTTATGTCTTTATGACCAGGTTAATATATCACGTGATACGACCGCCAATCAGAGACACCAACTTATACGACCAGACTAGTGATGCATAAACGTATACGAGCAGCCTAGAGTTCTTATTGGTCCTCTGAAATAATAGCTTCTTACTTAACCCAGCCAGTTCAGCCCAGAACGTCAATATCAGCCTCCATGATACGAACCATATATTTCAGACATAATGGGTTTATATACAAACAAACCAGACTGAACCATAGCATATAGTAGAAAATAACAATTATACAAGATCAGGCCAGAAAGTGGCCGTGATTATGAGAGACCGTTACCAATAGATTGGGAACAACTTAAGGATAGTAAGTAGTATAGTAATGGTCAATAGGTCAAATAAAAGCTTATAATAAGAGAAACATAAATATACATATAATATAGTGACTTAATGGTTATACAATGAATAAATAAATATACATCTCTGCTAACCATGCTTGTGAATTAAGGTATATCGAGGCAATACGCACAGTATGCACATATGCCAATTAGAGACTGACCAGTTGCAGTCCTAAACATCAATGGGAAGATTCAAACAAACAATACTAAATGAATTTAAGTGATAATATAGTTTTAAAGGTATTCAGATAACTACTTGAAACTCTAGATTACATATTATGTCAACAAACTGGATCATCTGTAGTCATTTTATACTTTAAAATTCTTATCAAAATACCAATAAACATCTTAATGCCAACTTAATTTTTTTTAATTTTATAAAGAATGGCAGTAAGAAGTTATCAATAGTAAAACTTTGTAATCACACAATAATCCTTTTACAGCATTCACTTCAACTGAAAAATAAATTTCACCATGATTTTGCATTATTTTTATCATGTTACATCGTGAAATGACTAAACTTGAAAATAGGAGCAATCATATATCTTTACCAAATATCTTAAAGAAACAGTGTTATCCATGAGACCTTCAGGGATTACCCTCAACCTTGTGTTCAGTCGTAAATAGGTATTGTGAAGATATTAAGTGTTAGAAAAATGTTTGGTTGTCAGCTGATATAGTAAGGGGAAAACAGTCATGAGTTTTTATATCTGCTCATTTGTATCTAGTGTAATTATAAATCAATAGTAAATGAGTCAAACTAGGCTCAAAGTCAATCTACTCATTCTCAAGGTGATAAGTTTGTGGAGATCAATCCTATTTGAAGATTGTTTTCGTAATAAACTAACATTAGATAGAGAATGATTAAGATATAGGAAGTATTAGAAAATCATTTCGTTCTAATCTACGACCCCACTGTATTGTCTATATACCATTCATCCAGGGCCTTCAGATAGCTCAGAAACTGAGTGATAATAGGACTATTAAGTCCTCAATCGATCTGCGTTGTAGTGTTATAGCAACTCTCCAACAATCAATTTCGATTATGGTTAATTTTTTTAAGCCCTTTTATGAACTCACTTAACAATGTTATTCAAACAGTAACAATTCGCATATTTCTTTGTACTATAATGATCATTATCATATCTATATAAACGTGTAGTCTTGATCACATGACAAACTTGGACTAAAATGTTGATAGCTTAAATACTCGAATCCTATTTCTTGCTTTTGCCTTGCCTGGCTGTGCTTTATTCGATTTGACTATAAATTTGCCTATGTAGTCTCTCGTATAAACACATTCACCTATCTGCTTCAAATTCGTTCGATGTGCTTATAGTTTTGTTATCCGTGCTGTCCTCTAAGAAACTGTAGTTGCCGCTTCTCACTGCCTTCTGATTTCAAGCAACGTTGGTATTTATATAACAATGGTTATCAAGATGATTGATTAACGAAGCTAAGCTACTACAGTATAACAACCAACAAATATCGTTGGTGGGTAACTGGCTGATACTCGACATTCTGAAACACCACTAGCTACAACTCTTTACTAGCAAATCAGAAACCCATTCCAAAGCAAGTCACTTGGGAGGGGGTAGCAATTGTTACTAAGTGGGAGGTTTGTGTGTACTACTGATGTGATACAAACTAGAACAAAACAATTGCCCACTGCTTCTTAGTTGATAATGGTAATTTTTCACCTTTTATTACATCATTCGTAGTCAGTAATATTATCGTACTAATAAGTAGTGGGCTTACTATCCTGGTTTACTATGGAAAAGAACCTAAATAATTTAATTACTAGACACAATGAACAGTAATAATCATAAAACAGTGAAAATGAATATTTGCTTTACAGAAAGTGACAAGCAATACAAATAATTGTAAGCAAAGATGAATAGTGGCTAGCAGTGGAGTCCAGAATGTGCGTTACGTCCTATTTCGGACTCGTCAGCTGGATGTACCTGTATCTCAGAGTTGATGTTCACTCTAGGACTCGAACCCAGTACCTTTCGCTTCTAACCCCACCGCGTTATCCACTCGGCCACTGCGTCCAGCTGACGAGTCCAAAATAGGACGAAACGCTCGTCCTGGATTCCACTGCTAGCCATTATCCATCTTTGCTTATAATGCTTGCGAATTTAGGCTATATCGAGGCAATACGTACAGTATGCACATATGTCAATTAGAGACTGACCAGTTGCAGTCCTAAACATCAATGGGAAGATTCAAACAAACAATACTAAGTGAATTTAAATATAAATAATGTTAATTATTTTTTGTCTAAATAGCACATAAAACAGAGTAAAGTTTACCAAACGTCCCATAATTTTGAAATGTACTAAATACTAACCAGATTTTCAACATTACTGATGAGATTTTCCTTAAAATTTACTGGAACAGACATAAAGGTGTTAAATTATCAACGAAAAAGAAAAACAATTGAATTTAGGAATCATTTCTCTAATTCATTGAAATTTATTCATCAAATTCAGGTTTATGTATTAGGCTTTGAGTGATGCCTTCTTTGAATGAAGACTATCTGGTTGTAGAAACAGATGATGTGGAAGATTCTCCAACCGGCAATCTAACGATTAAAAATTGAATACTTTAAGTACATGGACGACATACACTCATTGGAAGTTGAGAACACATGTTGTTGTAATATAACGATGTAAACATGAAAAAAAAAAGATTATTTATTAACTAATTAACTTAGTTAAAAATATATTATAACAATTGGAGGGGGGATTATAAACACTTATTAAATGTTTGTTAAAAATGAAATTGTAAACAGTTGTGTGCTACAATGAATTATTGTCCGGAATTCCATCCAAACACTACCAGTATATATATTTCATATAGTAAATGAAGTAATATAGTTTAATGATTATACTTTTGTTCTGGATTTATACCAATACAAATCAAGTGATATCATTATTTTTTGTGTATAGAGATATTTATAGTGCACTTTGGAAAAATGGTTTCAAATGTGGATTTTTCATTTTTTATTAATAACATAAACACAAAATTTGCATTGATGCAAATTAGTTGTGAAATCATTTTTAAAGATGGTTCCATTAAGGTGTAACTTATGAATAAAACTCATGTCCAATGTTTTCCAGTCGGATTTGAATTATTTATCTATATCTTCATGTTATTTCGTGTTTATAGTTTGTAATTTACAAGCTTATCGACACTACATTACACTTTTGATTTTCTACTGATCATAATAATGATTTCATCTCAGAGAATGACCCTACACTAAATGACCACATCTTAGAAACCAATATCATACTCCTTAGTACTAAGTGTTGATAGAATCATATTGAACATGTTACAACATGGCTGCTAGGTTAGATGACTTGATAATCAGGTCACTTAAGTTATTTCTAGTCTTTTCAATTAAGTGATCATAGCCGTCTGGTTTGAGTGATTGAATTCTCATATATCAGTCTACATAAGCTGCAAGCTAACCAGTCAAATTTTAACTAAGTCAAAATACTATCCAATACCTAGATTACTTTGATGAACTGCTAACAGAATATCAGTGTCATACGTAACAAAAGAACCTGAAATATGTGCATCGGTTTAAGTTGCCATATCATATTAGCCAATCGAGATAAAATTATTTCAAGATAAACCCCAGAACAGTAGTAGTAGGAAATACTATGCATAGAAAACAAACGTAAAATTTCGAGACTCAGGTTCTAGAGGGAGACAAGGAATGAATGCATTTGAGTCATTTTAGACGATCCTGCGTCAAATCACCCAAAATTCTTAACCATTTGTTACGATAATCACGTGGATCCCAACTAAGCAGTCTTTATCTGTTAACGCGCTTTAGCCGATTAACAGTGATTTCGTGAACTGACACAATGTCTTCGATTGGTCTCCCCCAACTTTCTTCCAACCTATTCCATCAGACATTCCCCGTCGAGGTAGGCGATAGTTGGGCATATGTGACATGTCCCAGTCACCTCAGCTGATAAAGATTTACTACCCCATTAACCAAATTGCAATATTTTTCTAGTATCCAACGCCTAACCTCGGGGTTGCTCATTCAATGGTCCCAAAATGCACGAAGGATGCGTCCAAGACACCTAAGATCGATTATTACTAACTTACGGAAATCCTCTATTCTTAACTGGCATGTTTCACATCCACAAAGAAGAATGGGCAAACCGTTGCGCAGCAAGCTTGTCCTGCGGTTGGTAAACGAATATCCTGCCTACACTACAGGTAACGCAAATTGGCAAAGGCCAACAAAATATTGATTAGTGTGAATACCTTCGAACTAACCATATAGACTAGTGTCCTTTTGAAAATAATTATCAAAGGATAAACAAAATTTCTTTGAAATCAGATGTTCTATTTATTTCAAATATTCACAAACATACAAGTATAGGTAATCAAACTCCAATAGGAGAAACATATCCCAATAAAAACGAACACCAAAAGCAGTACTTCGAATTGTACACAAAAAATTGTAATTCAGAAAAAGTTACCAGAGATCATGTATAATATAAAGCAAAACTATCGAAAATAAATATGATCAGAAATTGATCAATTAAAATTTTATGTGAAAGAAAAAATAATGTACCTAATTAGACAAATAGATAAATAAATTGGAAGTAATATATGGAGATAATGAATTTATATATAAATAGAAATCCGGATAATTAAAAAAAGAAAAGGTTCGTAGCAAAGACAGTCACAGCTTATTTAACTGAGAGAAGAACAACTAAACCAAGGAGAAATAATATAGAAAAGATGGAAAATAACAGAAGAAACACACACAGTTGAGAAAGACAATAGATTTAATTGATTATAAAAGTTTTAATAAAATTGAGCGCAAAATAATTTTTTTTTAAAAGAATTTAAACAATGAATAAACAATGTTTATTCAGGCATTAAAAAAGCATATAATGCAACTACTGCAAATCCAAGTAATAAGAAAAAAAATTTTCCCATCCTATCTTTGACACCATCTTTAAATTCAACTGGTAATAATTCACAGAATACGACGAAGAAAAATGTTCCACAAGCTAATCCTTGAAGTACAGCAGTTGACATTGTTAATACTGCTGATTGTTTTTGTTGCATTAAACCACAACCAACAAGAACACCGATTGGTGATGAACAAGCTAAAACTAATGTTCCAATAGATTGATACATAAAAAGATGACAACAGGAGGATTGAGATTGAAATGAAGAACTTGAAGATGTTGATGGTTGATTTAAATTTGTAGCTAAATTTACACCGATACCAATAGCTATGATAATTTTATGTAATAAAATAGCAGTGAATAAAGCAAGAGTACGTTGTGTTGTAGGTTGAAGGCCAACTGCTAAACCTTCAAATATTGAATGTACAGACATAGCGCATAAAAGTAGAATAATACGTAACACTGATCCAAAAGAACTAGCATCAAATTTGATATCATGAGTATGAGAATGATGATGAGCATTATGATCATTATTATTATTATCATCATGACAGTGGTCAGTATGTTCGACGTGGTTTCTTGTAATATTGGATTCTAGAAGAAAATCATTCCCAGAATGAGTAGATGATGTAGGTGAACAATCAACAGGAGTCAATTCTGAAGTATTTGTTGCATTGGATAATTTCGATGGTCTCTTGGCATTACTTTTCATAAGTTTAGATGATAAATATCCAATGTTATTCTGTTGTGAGTCCTCCAAGGCTAATTTGTGATTTGCAGTAATCTCATTATGTTTTATATTGTTATTGCTATTATTGTTATCAAGGTAAAAATTTCCATTACTTTCAAAATTATAATCATTTTCGTTCGAATGAAGTGAATCACGATGTAATGCTTGACTAGTGTTAGAATTTCTTCGCGAACAACATGTCCATTGATTTGATTTCGCTGTCCATATAATTTGTTCAATGCTTAAAACCAGAAAGAATCCAACAAGAGTTAAAAATGGAGCGAATGGAAATTCAGATTTAATATGTAACTGAAGTTTTGCCTCTGCTATTGCTTCCTCAGTATCAGGATAAAGTTCCATAAAACCTTTTTCAGAAATAAAAACACATAAGCGTATGTAAATACAATAGATTTACCATGAGTGTTCCAATTTTTTTTAACATTCATTCCAAACTGTGCTTGGCTAAGCACATGAAAAATATTGACGCTACAGTGAAACAAACCAGTGAAAAAATTGACTAAATGCCATACGCCGCAGTCCCAACATGTTAATGGAGGCGCTTTCCCTTTACTAATATGCGGACTGAGGGTACCTACTTATATACTTACGCCTGATACCCTTAGTGAAGAAGCATAGACCGCCCGCCAGCATTCTCCATCCAGCACTGTCTTGGGCAATCCTTTCAAGTTCTTTCCAGTTATTATTCATTCTTTTTCATATCTGCTTCCCATTCCCGACGCAGTGTGTTCTTTGGCCTTCCTTTTTTCCGTTTCCCATCAATATTCCAAGTTAGGGCTTGCCTCGTGATGCAGTTTGATGATTTCCTTAATATATGTCCGATCCACTCCCAACGTGTTTTCCTAATTTCTTCTTCATCTGGAAGCTGGTTTGTTCTCTCCCAAAGTAGGTTATTGCTGATGATATCCCGCCAGTGAATGTTGAGTATTTCGCGTAAAGAACTGTTTATAAATCCTTGTACCTTCTTGATGATGGTTGTAGTAGTTCTACACGTTTCAGCTCCGTACAGTAGATTTGTCTGGACGTTCGCATTGAAGATTCTCACTTTGATATTGGTTGATAGTTGTTTTGAGTCCCATATGTTTTTCAATTTTAAGAATGCGTCCCTTGTTTTACCAATACTCGCCTTTACATTTGCATCTAATCTCCCTTGTTCATCAATGAAGACCTCGACATCTCACTAGAAGCACGGAATACAAGTGACATCTCAGATGACCCGACCCTCCTATCCCGTACACACGAACAAATCCAGATGAAGACAACGAATGTAGCAGTAGCCTCTAAACCAGTAGGCCTCAAACATACGCAAGAGAAAAAGCAAGATCCTCAAAAATAACACGGAAAGCCCCGACCCAACCACACTCGATGGAGAAGCTCTGGAAAATGTGGAATCTTTCACGTACCTGAAAAGCATAATTGTTGAACAAGGGAGATTAGATGCAAATGTAAAGGCGAGTATTGGTAAAACAAGGGACGCATTCTTAAAATTGAAAAACATATGGGACTCAAAACAACTATCAACCAATATCAAAGTGAGAATCTTCAATGCGAACGTCCAGACAAATCTACTGTACGGAGCTGAAACGTGTAGAACTACTACAACCATCATCAAGAAGGTACAAGGATTTATAAACAGTTCTTTACGCGAAATACTCAACATTCACTGGCGGGATATCATCAGCAATAACCTACTTTGGGAGAGAACAAACCAGCTTCCAGATGAAGAAGAAATTAGGAAAACACGTTGGGAGTGGATCGGACATATATTAAGGAAATCATCAAACTGCATCACGAGGCAAGCCCTAACTTGGAATATTGATGGGAAACGGAAAAAAGGAAGGCCAAAGAACACACTGCGTCGGGAATGGGAAGCAGATATGAAAAAGAATGAATAATAACTGGAAAGAACTTGAAAGGATTGCCCAAGACAGTGCTGGATGGAGAATGCTGGCGGGCGGTCTATGCTTCTCCACTAAAGGTAACAGGTGTATGTAAAGCCCATTATATGAATCTCTTCAAAATGTTTAAGTTATTTATTTCGTTCTACAAACTAAACATATTTATTACAATAAATAGTTTAACACTGCATACAAACAGAGTAAAACATTTTGCAGTTTACGGTCAAGTGATTCGTAAATGAAAATGAACTTTATATTTGTTAAGCGACTAAAAAATAAAATTTGGTGTCAGTCATATGCAACCTAGAACCTGACCAATATGTACACCAGTTTAAGTCGTCGCACCACATTAGCACAGGGAGCTGAATTTATAAAGACAAATCCTAGAATGACAGTAGTGATAGCATTAGTAATAGTAGGAAAATACTATGTTTATAAGGAAGAAAAGAATGAGATTTCGAAACTCAAGGTTTACACAAATTAACCTAATGTATCGATAGTTAGATTCCACACTTTCGTCTACTATATGACATTTACTTTGAAAATATTTGGAATTTTAACTGCATTTCCCATATACCAAAAAATTCTGCTTCTGTTTGAGCACCCGGGCAGTATTATAGATCGCAGACAAATCAAGTGACTTATGTGGAGCAATGTGTATTCAATGCCCCTTTGCACCAATACTTATGTGTTCAAATAAATAAATAAAATACCTAGAAAATAGCCGAATTTGTATTCATGGTAACACGACAGAGCAACTCATAGAAATAGTCAGTCAGTCAGTCAGTTACAACGTAGAACTTCGTACGTACGTACATCAGTTCGAGTTGCCATACCACATTAGCACGGAGATTCAGTTGTCGATTCAAATCCCATAATGGTAGAAGTAGTAAGAGTATAAGCAGTAATCGGAAAGATTAAGGTTTGAAGATGTCGAGACTCATAGAAATAAGCAAATATTTTGTGTAGGCTTACCTGAAGATAAGAATACTCCAGCGGCAAAACAATTACACCGACTAAACCAAACTTGTAATGTTTCTTTACGCGTTGTTCTTGACGAAAGACAAACTTTCCGAGATGACATTTGTTTTTCTTGTTTCTGATGATCTCTTCGATTCTGTATGATAGAGTGATCACTTAAATTACGACCACGTATTCGATCTTGAATCCTAAATGAACTGGCCCAGTTTCGCTCATTATGGACCACCTGACCAGTAAGTAAATCTCTGTTTTCAAACTGGTCTCCGTTAATTAATGCAGGATTAGGGCTTTGACAAGAAGTGGATAAACTTTCAGATTCTACCGAAGTTTGTTGTTGAAATGGAACTCGCTTCCATGAAGCATTGTTATCTGCATACACTTTGCCACCAGAAACATTTACAGGACTTCTTCCTGAATGTGGAGATAAATCTAGATCACAGTATTGAAATTTAATGTCATCATCCCTATTTTCTATTTTGATTTGATCTGACCCATTATGCCGTACTTTGCCCAAATGGAATCTCCGATTGTCATTGACTAATGGTAAACTATTTTGTTCTTTCAGGTAGTTTATTAATAAAACTGGCAAACCGCACGAAATAAGCACAGTGAAAAAAAAAGCTGCTGCCAACCCCACTTTGATGTAACTTAACCGAGATGCATCTGTATCATGATGATCGATTAAGGATGAGTTAGAGATAGATAATGGGTGAGTAGGAGTCCAAGAATGAGCTCCATATATTAATGGGGTGTCGTGGAAAGTCACCGACAAGATGAGTAGCAACTTTTTTATCCAAAGAACCTGAAACAATTCGCGTAAACAGAAATGATACACGAGAGATGCAAAAGTCGCAGAAAATAACTATTTTTTACTAGACATAATCAAGTTACCAATCCAGCTGCCTTTGTGTGGCCTAAACGCACAAGTGAAGCCATATACCAAATTGGTGGATTACCGCTGTTAGTTCTAAATCACAATGGTTCACTCTTACTTAATCCCATCTAGAAGATTGAAGCAGGATGTTTCAAAACGAATATCTACAGCTGGATGAATAGGGTATTCATCACACTCAACGAGACCTCAGTAAGTTTGAAACTAAGAAACCAAACACTGTAAATGTTAAGAACATTCAAATATTGTGTAAGCATCAAGTAAAGCCGGTACCCGATCAGCTTTGGAAATGCTTAGTTCAGAGAGTGGAAATATCCGAAATATCTTTCTGCAAATTATGGAGTAACTCGACTATGGTGTCCACGAAACTAAATGAATTTGAACCCGGAGTATTTATTGTTGCTCCCGAATGACGAATAGCTGGAATTCTCTATCGGAACACTTAATATCAGCACTTTGTTTGATACATTTGAAGCGAGATTTGGTTTCTACAGTACTACAAATTGTAAAGACTAACATGGGTCAATTGACCTGTCCTTACTACCAAAGATTGAAGGACAAGAAAACTTAAAGGGAAAAGCAAACGATCTTAAAAGCCCATATTCTGTGAAATACAGATCTTCCAACCTTATGACTAACTCTTGGAATCTATCGGGAGGTGAGGTGTTTCGATCTCTGTATGATCCATAAAAGTTATACACTTCCGTTCTAATAAGTTTGGATCAGGTCTGAATATGTGCATCTTTCCATAGAGCAAACTGTACATTCGTATTATTATGTGGAGGAATGCGCTACAAAATTCATGCGTGCTAAACTAGTGACGGGAAAACTCACCATACTAGCCAAGGCAATTCACATAATTCGATCGAACTGGGAAAATCAACTCTACGAGGTTACTAACTGAAATAGAAGCATTCTAACAAAGCTTTCAATAACCCAAGAACTTTTAGACTTTTTGGACAGAAATGCGAAAAACTTGCTCTTTACGATTACTTCAGAATTATATGATGAACAATTCACATCACGATAGTCTTATATTATATTGGTCGAACCACGCATGTTTTAAGTTCTCAAACAAATTTATCGATTATTTAGCTTTAAGATGCTATCCAAAACACCTTGACAAATACAACAACGTTCATTTCATCAACTTCTACAAGGGTCCGGATTACATTTCACTTGCACTATCTCTCATCATTAACTCCACCTGTAGCTCTTCTAGAGTTACTGCCAGTTCCAAGCTCGGGTAAAGGAAGAGGGTTGTTTACGGGGTTAGCGACCCCATCCCGTAGAAAAATATCTTTATAAAAAACGCTAACCAGAAAAATAATTCAAACCATTCAAACTCTGCCCTCCGAGTTCAAGGGAGAATTATGACCCCTCATGATGAAAAATGGGATTCATCGGAAGTCACGAGGCAGACGCCCTTTCTAACAATCAGAGCAACACTCTTTATAGGTACATGGAACGTCCAAACAGTGTTGGAGACCGGAAGGACCGGTCAAATAGCAATGGAAATGAGGAGATACAAATTGGCATTACTTGGAATCAGTGAAACCCATTGGACCCAAGCTGGGCAACAAAGGCTAGATAAGGGAGAGATGCTACTGTACTCCGGTCATGTAGAGGAAAATATTCCACACATTTAGGGAGTTGCTCTGATGTTGTCCGAAGAGGCACGAAATGCACTTATAGGATGGGAATCTCACAGATCCAAGATCATCGAAGCAACCATCGAAATAAAGAAGGAGGGAATCATCCTGAATGTTATCCACCAATGATAGCAACGACGACAATAAGGATCAGTTCCAGGTGAGGCTGCGATCAACCATAGCGAAGTTTCCAAGAAAGGATCTAACCATCCTTATGGGAGACCTAAACGCCAAAGTCGAAATGGACAACACAGGATATGAAAATATAATGGGACAACATGAACTGGCATAGAGAAATGAAAATGGGGAGAAATTCGCAAATCTATGTTCATTCAACAAATTGGTTATAGGCGGCACAATATTTCCACACAAACACATACACAAAGCTACATGGATCTCACCGGACCACACAACAGAGAACCATATAGATCATATTTGTATCAACGAAAAATTCAGAAGGACAATGGAAGATGTGAGAATAAGGAGAGGAACTGATGTAGTTTCGGATCACCATCTGATTGTGGCCGAGATGAAACTGAAGCTAAAGAAGCACAGGACAACTGGGGAAATAGCAGTGCAAAGATTCAATTCAGCTTTCCTTCCAGATACTAACAAACTCAACCAATTCAAGGTAACCCTCAACAACAGGTTTCAAGCCTTTCAGGATCTACAGAAAGAAGAAACTACGATAGAGGACAACTGGAAGGGGATCAAAGAAGCATAAACTTCAAAGTGTCAGAAGGTTCTGGGCCGCAAGAAGCATCATCGTAAGGAATGGATCTCTATTGAAACCCTGGTCAAGATTGAAGAAAGGAAGAACAAAATGACAGCACGGGAAGAAAAAGTCAAGACACAAGCTGAATACACTGAAGCAAACAAAGAAGTGAAGAAGAGCATTAAATACGACAAGCAGAAATACATGGGAGAACTAGCAACGACGGCAAAAAAAGCCGCAAGAGAAGGGAATATGAGACAACTACATGATGCAACGAATAAACTAGAAGGGAGATATAGTGAACCAGAGAGACCCGTCAAGGGCAAAGAAGGAAAGACAATCACTGAGATTCAGGAACAGAGGGACAGATGGGTAGAATACTTCGAGAAACTTCTGAATAGACCAGCCGCATTAAATGCACTAGACATTGAAGCAGCACACACTGACCTTCCTATAAATGTCACTCCAACAACGATCGAAGAAATCAAGATGGCCATCAGACAAATCAAGAGCGAGAAGGCAACAGGACCTGACAATATACCAGCTGAAGCACTGAAATCAGATATTGAAGTAACTGCAAGTATGTTTCACGTCGTATTGAGGAAGATTTGGAAGGAAGAAGTTACAATGGATTGGAAAGAAGGATACCTCATCAAGATACCAAAGACAGGAGATTTGAGCAAATGTGAGAATTACAGAGGCATCACACCGTAGTCTGCACCAGGGAACGTTTTCAAAAGAGTGTTGTTGAACCGGATGAATGACACAGTATGCGCTTAGTTTCAAGATCAACAGGCTGGATTCCGTTAAGATCGGTCGTACACAGACCAAATTGCGACACTACGGATGATCGTCGAACAGTCTGTTGAGTGGAACTCGTCACTATACATCAACTTAATTGACTATGAGAAGGCCTTTAACAATGTGGATAGGAGATCACGGAAGAACCTTTTCCGACACAATAGTGTGAGTAGCTGAGAAAATCGTCAACACCATGCAGAATTCATACGACGGACTACACTGCAAAGTTGGGCAAGTAGGACAGCTGATAAATGCATTTCTAGTAAGGTTCGGAGTGAGGCAAGGTTGTCTACTCTCCGAAGACAACGAATGTAGCAGTAGCCTCTAAACCAGTAGGCCTCAAACATACGCAAGAGAAAAAGCAAGATCCTCAAAAATAACACGGAAAGCCCCGACCCAACCACACTCGATGGAGAAGCTCTGGAAAATGTGGAATCTTTCACGTACCTGAAAAGCATAATTGTTGAACAAGGGAGATTAGATGCAAATGTAAAGGCGAGTATTGGTAAAACAAGGGACGCATTCTTAAAATTGAAAAACATATGGGACTCAAAACAACTATCAACCAATATCAAAGTGAGAATCTTCAATGCGAACGTCCAGACAAATCTACTGTACGGAGCTGAAACGTGTAGAACTACTACAACCATCATCAAGAAGGTACAAGGATTTATAAACAGTTCTTTACGCGAAATACTCAACATTCACTGGCGGGATATCATCAGCAATAACCTACTTTGGGAGAGAACAAACCAGCTTCCAGATGAAGAAGAAATTAGGAAAACACGTTGGGAGTGGATCGGACATATATTAAGGAAATCATCAAACTGCATCACGAGGCAAGCCCTAACTTGGAATATTGATGGGAAACGGAAAAAAGGAAGGCCAAAGAACACACTGCGTCGGGAATGGGAAGCAGATATGAAAAAGAATGAATAACAACTGGAAAGAACTTGAAAGGATTGCCCAAGACAGTGCTGAATGGAGAATGCTGGCGGGCGGTCTATGCTTCTTCACTAAGGGTATCAGGCGTAAGTTAATAATATATCATCAGCGAAAGCGAAATCCTGCTAGTCAGAATGTCAAAATGATCTTAGAGAGGAGAACGAGTACGTAGAATGTTTGGTGTGGAAACGGTGAAATATTCAAATCTCAGAGAATTGATTGACATTCTGCAAATTAAGTATTTACCGTATGGTTCTCAGATTTTACGGAGATATTCTTTAATTTTGTATTCAAATACATTCTATTGTTCTCACCTGCTTTTTCCTTCACCAGAAAGTGAACTTATTTATGGTCTTTATCCAAGAAGCTGCTTAGTAGCAACACTCACTTCATGACAAATGTTACCGTTTCCGTCGTTTGGTATACCATTTTGTTTTAAAAGCCACTTGCAATTTTGTCTTTTACATGGACAGTGACTTCAATTAATAGTATTGATATTTGTTTTAACATGTAACTTCTCATTGTTGCATCCCGGATAAGTTCTTTTATTGGACTCCTTTTTATACCTATTCATATGTAAGAAAGATTTAGTAAATCAATATGATTCTCTATCTGGAGTCTCTAAGAAAATAGCTTCGTTTCTAAAAGGACTACGCAGAGGTCTCTGTGGTGTTTGTATAAACTAATGGTTCTTTCGTACTGTTAAGTATGAAGTGTTTTGGTATTGTATCATGGACAATTTTTTATTGATCAAATATAAAGTGATTTTTGTTGTAATTTTGTTCCGCTCGAGTTCAGTCGGGTTCGAACAGATAAGTATTGTGCACTGATTCTATTGCTCGTTGTCAACCACCATAATCGCATCTACTGCATGTTTAACACATCGTTTATATGAGCACAAAGAAATCAGTAGCGTAGCTTACAGGATGAAGAATGAATTCAACTCACAGACTAACGCCTCAAATAGTTTTGTCTTAGTTTATGCATTAAATATACAGATAACATTATTTGGTACAAACGTGCACTCAAGATGTACACACATATGAGCAATCTATATAACTGACGAAATTAACAAGGACATCTACAGAAAACGTACATGTATGGATATTTCCAATCGCCACTGGAAAGAATGCAGTTATTAAGAGGATAAAAAGCACATCTAGATTATTATCATTATTTATTCACGTGAGAATAAATTAACGTAGGCGTATGAGAGGGCACTACATCTACCTGACGATTCCATTGTTACATCTACATCTGAAGAGGTCCCAGACACCACCCTGCGTGACATGTTAATTTATCCTTCCTTTTGGTACTCTGAAACTAACAAAGCGTATTGTATTGAAGTATTTGTCATAAAAAATGGAAGTGACTCATTTAAGAAACTATGTAGAATTAAAGTAATAACAAGTATTAGTGCATCTATCTATGCTGCTAAGATAATAAACCCAACCAAAACTGTTGAATTTGCTATGGTGTGACTTCGTAACCTCATACATATGAAGTGAAAGTCACATGGTTATCTATACTGGCTCGTCATACCTGACAGCCATCGGTCTTTGAAGAGCACGACCAAGATGGAGATAGAGTAACATATTCAATATTATGAAACATAAGGTTATGAAGAGTGACCACACCTTCAACTCCGACCCATGATGTCTCGATTAACTCCTCCCACTTCCACCATACACGACTTTATTCAAGTGTCCAATGTTTAATGTAGGTCTTCACAGTTATCTTATGTGCGGCTTCAAAGATCGTGTGATTGGGGACCAATACCATTACAACTGCTCACAATCGTTTGCGAAGTTTGGCTGGGACCTATTCATAAATCAAACTTCATCGTGTTCCTTTGTCTTAAGAGGGATACCATCATCCTCGAAATCGAAAGTAGTCATTCGCACCAAATGATTAATTGCGATATTTTTACATTGAAGTCATTAAATATATGACCTCCACAGTATGGAATGATGAGGAGCAATATGACCATAATGAATCCCATCGTTTGCAATACCACTCATCCAATAAGGCCAGTAATATGTTTTAGTAATAAACTGAACTTGATAGAGACAGATTCACGTTAAGGCATTTTTCGCAGTTATGGAAGTCGGAGTTTTTGTCTTTTTATTGTTACTCAGTACAGTTACATACAAACCTCTATTTTTGTTTGTGTATCTACCACTTATCAAGCTTTAAAAGACACTCTATCTAGAGATCAGTTTCCTCTGTGAGGTCAAAAAGCAAATTTATGGCGAAAGTAATGAATCGACGTGGAAAACCTGCATGCTGTTTCTGTCTATGATGGGATGCAATGTGGCAACTGCAATTAATGGTATCACAATGTGTGCACTGGACTCACACCGGCTGCATATAAAAGGTACTGCAAACCATTATCACGCTGGCTGTGCAAAGCATGTTGTTCTACAAAGCCTCTGCTGATTCTAGAGGCGATTAAGCTGCTGAACGTAGCTAGAAAATTGCTCTCAGATAAAAGAAGCAGTAGATGAGCAGAACACCGCTTTCGAGGAAACAGATAGCGTTATCGTGAGCACCGCTCTGGATTTAAATGTGACCATAGAGTTGGACCCCATCAGCGAAGCAGATAACAAGCATATGGATGTAGGCATGATCAAAAGAAAGAAGAAAAAGCGCTTGGGGAAGAAACTAATTATAGACAGTACTAAGGTATATGAATCTATCAGTTCCGGACTCATATATCAACGCCAAGTCTGAGCGGTGTAGAGGATGTGATCAATAAAGAAAGTAAAGTAAATGATTGGCACACAGTCACAGCCAGGAGAAGAAGCGTAAGGAAACAGGATTCGACCTGTGCGATTGACACCAAATCGGAAACGGGGTGCAAAGAAGAGACTATTTCAGGAATTAAAATTTTAGGGCGTGTTAAGACGGACCTAGCTGATGGGTCAGTCATTTTTCATAAATTAAGAGAATTTTTCGAAGGGGAACTGAGGGCTAGGTCTGAGCACGATTTCAGTAACATTAAATACTCATTAAGCAAGCCATTCCCAAAGAAAGTTTCAGGAGTTAGCATCTGTAAGTTTTACATAATAGGACAAAAGGTGGATTCTTAAAGTCCCGAGAAAAGCAGCTTCTTGAAGTTTGCCTTTGCTGCGGATGAAGAAAGAAACCTGACACTGGGAAACTCACCCAAACTGATTAGATTCCGAGTATTTGTTTGAGAAGATCTCAGTCTGGTCGACCGTAACAAGAGACAAGCTGCAGAAGTAAAAATAAATGAGCGCCACCGAAACGATGAAAGAAACCTCGCTCCTAAGGGTCTTCGAAATGCAAAAGTTCGTAGACAAGACATCCCCAAATCACTCTGGGTCGTAAGGGAAAGTTCCACATGGAACTATAGATGTGCTACACATATGCTTGCAGCCCACTAAATGAAATGGCGGACCTCAATACATCGGTAGATATAGAAAAACCTGACGTTATTGCTGTCTCAGAAACATGGTTAACGTCAGAAGTGTTTGATGATGAAATTCAGTTGTCTGGTTATATATCCGTTCGGGCTGATAGATTAAAAAGTAGGGGGTGGGGTTATTCTGTATACGGAAACTACCTTAACTATACGAGCTGTTGAAATAGGGGCACATGATTCACGGACATGTGTACTGGTGCGTTGCAGGCTGAAATGTAGACGGCAAGATATTGAATACGTCGTAGTATATCGCAGTCCAGAATTTGTAGTAGATGAATTCCTCCTAAGCAAACTTAAGTCCTGGTGTAGTAGGGATAAAATCATTATGGTAGGTGACTTTATTGCACCGTATATGAACTGGATAATCTTAGAAGTAGGGTCATCAATAACGTCATCTGATTGCAAACTGTTAGAAACCTCATTTGCACTAGCTTTATCCCAATTCATCAGAGAACCCACCAGATATGACCTACGAAGCTCCTCGTCCCTCTTGAACTTATTCGTTACACACGGTGATGACGTCCGTCAAATGACTTTCTTGTCACCTCTAGCGAAAGCGATCATGCAGTCATCTTATTCAAATTCATGGCTGTGATGATCTATCAACCAGCTGCACCGGCCCATTCTAACATATGAAAGGCAGACATGAAGGCAATCAACTCTGCAGCATCGGCTGAAAACTGGGAATTTGACTCAGAGGAATCAGTGGAAGAGGCATGGACCCATTTCAGGCAGTTTTACAATCGAGTAACCTAACCATTTACACCCTGGACAGTCCCAAAGAAGAAGAGATACGGCCATCCCTGGATAGGCCGGGGTATTCAACGTTTACTAAGACAAAAGAAGAAATGTTGGAATGTTGCCATTCAAGCAACCTTAGAGATTGTTCTCATACATAAATTGCAAAACAAGGATGCAGCATTGGAGTCCCAACCTAATTGAGGAAAGGAGTGGATCTGAATTAATAGAGGACGATCAAGAAAAAGCAGAGGCTATGGCAAACTATTTCGGGGCAGTTTTCACTCAGGAACCTCCTCTAAACGAAGAACTAAACCCAAATACAAAACCAACAAACCACCTGCTCACTGTGAACTTTTATCAAGACGGTGTACTTAGGGCTTTTAACACCTTAGACATGGAAGTTCAATAAGTTCGGATGAATTACACCCCCAAACCCTGAGACATTTTGCACAATATATCGGAGCCCCACAATACAATATGTCACTTGACCAAGGTGTGTTGCACACGGACTGCAAGGATGCAATCGTCACTCCCATACATAAAACAGGACAAATTCCATCGAAATACAGACCTGTCAGCCTCACCAGTTTCGTGGTCAAAAAGACCATAATAACATTTTTGGAAACCAACAACTTGTTAAACAGCGAGCAACATTCTTTCAGAAAAAGTTTATCTTGAACAACAAACCTCCTTATAGAAAGGGAGCATTGGACAAAGGCTATAGACAATGGAAAATCAGTGGATGTTTACATAGACTTCAGCAAAGCATTTGACAAGGTGCCAACAAGTAGACTGCTATTGAAGATGAGAAATTTTGGCATTGCCGGACCTCTCTTAAAATGGTTTAAGGATTTACTGGTAGATCGTAAACAGAAACTAAGAGTAACTTCGAAGTGCTCCACCTGGAGACCAAGACTGAATGGAGTACCTCAAGGTCCTGTCCTGGGTCCTTTACTTTTCATACTGTATGTAAATGATCTCCCAAGTATAGTAGAGTGCCCAATGTTATTATTCTCTGACGATGTAAAAAATAACGGCAGACACAGGTATATGGGCGCCTCAGGCAGACGTAAATGTTGTGATTAACTGGTTTAAACAGTGGCTGATGTCTATCAACATGCACTTTGGGGATACAAAAGTAAATAGGTACGTGGCTTGAATCTTTTAGAATAAACTTAGGGTTGACGGCGTTTTCAGGTTTTGCAATGATTTTCTTTGTGTCCTTTCCTGGAACACGTAGTACAACGATGACTTTTAAACGGACAAAACCTTTTGAAATGCCAACCTCTACATAACCAGCAGGATGATGATGGTTTGCCGCTGTCATTTCGATAATTCTGTATGCTGGAACCTTGTAAGACTTTTCTCTCAACAGCATTAACGTGGAGAAACTGGTTAGTGTTTTCTACCATCGAGGTATCATGCTTCAAATTCACTAACCTTTGACATTCAGTAGTCACTTCCTGCAGGGTCATGTCGGAACAATGTTCAGGTTTGCTTAGGATTCTCGTTCGGATGTCAGCATCCTCAGGTGAACGCAGGCTACAGACAAATACCAGGCATTTGAACTAGTCGTCAGTCATGGAAGACAACTTGAACCTCTCTCATTCTCGGTTCACAATACGTGCATGTTTCACCCAGTCATCTCCTGATTCTTTCGTTATCTTCAAGCACTAGTAACGGATATTAAATAGAGACGACTGTTCTCCAAAGATTTGAGACAGGGTTTGAATTGTTTCATCAAAACTAAAGTCTTGTGGGTTCTTCGGAAGAATAAAGTTACTACAGCGTTCATGTTCTGTTATCCCAAGCTTTCTTAGAAGTATTCTGACTTTTGAAGCGTCATCGAGTCTGAAGAGATCAATACGGAACAATCTTCATACTTCTTAAACCAAGAGTCAAAAGTAACACATGCTGCATCATCAAAATCAAATCCATGGATTGTATTAATAACTGAATCAGTATGAGATACTTGAAATTCACCGGCAGCAGAGTTTTGTTGGGACATGCATAATTTCTGCATAAGAGCTTGAGAACTGCTTTCAGGCTGTAAGCCTCTGTTTAGAAAAAGACTCGGATATTTTGGAAAAAGCACAGAGAGCAGCTACCCATGCAATTTTAGAGCTCCGGGGTTCACCATACAAAGAGCGGCTTAAAAGCTAGATCCCTTTACTCTGTCTTATAGCAGATTTAGAGGTGGTCTGATTTTGATGCATGGAATACTAAGAAAAGATTTCGGACCTCATATATCCTCCCTTTTTCTCCCCACTAGATCTGGACATCTCAGAATCATCAATACTTGGAACCAGTTCCCCGAAGCAGTGGCGTCCGCACCTTTAATTGACTCATTCAAGGGAAGACTGGACACCCACAGAAACATACGCGAAAGAGAATAACACAGGCTGTAGGCCTTCTGTCCTTACTACACAAATCTGAATCTGAATAGGATGCTGAGACGAGTCGGATCTAAGGTGGCCATTAGTTGCAAGGGTTAAGTACTTCATCGTGATCTGGTGCGTATGCGTGAACGAGCGCCTTCAGCTGAGGTGTTTGTGGTAAAACTAATGAGGTTGGCATCAATGTTGAGAACTTGCAGAACTCTTTATTTCGGTATTCATTTACCTCTACACAATCAATCACTTATCAATTATAAAATCTATATTATTCCTATGACAGTGTGGTCGATCAAAACTTGATATACGCCTATTCAAATTACTTCTATACTATTTTCTAACGTCAAATAAATAATTTATATCGATGACTGTGCATGAACCAAACACAACATTTTGTACAATAAGCATTGGACCCTGAAAGAAAAAATGTTTGTGGTAATTGTTTAGTCGCATGTTATTGCCTTTCACCTTTACTGAGGCTCTTTGTTCAACCTTGCCTATTGTACAGGCGGATTATGCATTTTAATTACCCTGTCCCTGTGTTTGAGGATCTACAAAACAATTTAACAGGAGCCTAAATCAGGGAAATATCGTATTGAGTCACTTTCATGTTGAAATCTGAAGATCAAGATGAGGATTGTGCCAAGAATGGCTATGATTTTTTGAAATCAAGCTTATCTAGCATTATAACGTAAGCTGATATCCTTTTTTTCTTACATAATCATCCTCCTAGTCAGGATACACGCACTAGGATTGACGCATTGATTCAGGAAGTCGCCTCATTGAAAGATGTTGAAAAGCTCCTTTTCTGTCTACTTCTCCCAGTGGATAATACTCACGGTTCTCATTGTCTCGGCAATACTTCTTTTGGCTTTGCGGGTGATGAACTGGAGGTTTCCTCGGGTTACGACGTCAATTCATTGGGTATTGGCCTCTTTTCACCAGGTGGACAGTCTTCTCTTCACTTATCCAACCAAGTGGAGCAAAGTCAAGCCTACACGTGGATTATGTCTCATCTAGAAGAAGATCCATCAACCTGCTTAAGAAAAGATGAAGTGTACGATGACTACAGGTAACTTCAGCTTTTAGCTTATACCTTTGTGATGTCTATGAGATACGTGTTCTTGAAATGTTAGATAAATCACTTGGTTGAATTCTAGGTAAATAATTTCCGACTCTTAATATCATATCATGTGGCAAAATATCAACATTTCTTTTTAAGTAGAATGGCACCAAGCATTTTATTCGGAGTGGTTTTATTAGTTATCTCACTAGCACTTCTCGATTCCCAAAATGTTTCATTTGTGGTTTAGGAAAAGTATGGAGTGTACCGTCATTTTCGTAATTGTTGTACCCAAACTCAGTTAGTGGTATATACCAGTTTTTCATAGCACTTTCCATACAATCGAAAAGGAGTTGATCATTCGAAGCCATCTAGTTGTATTAAGTTTAATGACCGAAATATAGAATACTGATCGATTATAAAAGCTGATTACTCGTTATCTATTATCTGGTGTAAATTCTTAAGCTATGTACCGTAAGCTCGTGACAATCCTGTGGATGTTGAACATTTTCTATACTTCTCACGACAAGCCTTAGTCTGTGTTGATAAACGTTAACTAATCTGTGTGAATGCCGGGGGTAATTAGTAAGAAAACCTCCCAATTTCCAGTAATCCCTAGTAGTTACTTAAGTTTGATGAAAACATCCAGAAATGGCCATTCTGTGTTTGAAGCAGATGGTTAGAATACTGTTGATATTAGTGTATTTTGTCTTTTGCACGTCATCTACTGAACTACACCACATTCTTGATAGCATACTAAAAGTGTACAAAGATTAGAAATCCAATTTAAGTTAGGACAACAAAATCAAAATGTCCAATTCCAATGAGATATCTATTAGCAATTTCCTGATGAACTGGGGTACTAGCTGTAATATAGACATGAATATTTCTCCTCAAGTTGTGTGTTTTGCACACTAGTTGGTTGGAACGATAATATCTTGTAATAATCATGACATCTAGTTAGGTAACGTTCCAAAGTAGTTAAGAACACAACGCTTAAAAGAGTAGGGAAGTTCATCCTTGTGCACATCACGTTCTGCAAAACCAGGTATTTCTAAATCTTGTATGATAGGTACTAAGTTGATTGCATACACATTAAATTCCACAGTTATGAATATATTATTCCATATAATTTCAGTTGATTAATAAATTATTGTCCTCTCTAAGTATGTCTCTTCTGTACAGAAAGCTAGAATTCGGAATTACAGTTTTCTAGTGAACAAGTCTACTTAGGAAGTTGCAGTGATACTACATCAAACTTAATACACGCTTTCGAAAATATAAATGATTTCATATTCTAGGTGCACTGGTTGCTTTTGTTGAACATAGTTAATCAGTTTGTAGATGATCAAGCTGACGCATTTGCTATAACAATCCGAACTACTGGAGTGTTGTACTCTGCCTTGTTTGTCTTTTTAACAGTGGAGTCTGTGAATACAACTAATTAAAAAGTTGTTTCCAGACTCAAACGTGCATTTTTATTTCCCTGTCCACTGTAGCATATTAAACTATGTAACTTTGACCAAAAACTAGAAAACTGTGCTTTGGTGAAGCCAAAACTTGCTGAAAAAACTAATAATCATATAGTCATATTTTAGGCAGTAGATTTCTAAAATTCCATATCCCAAGGGACAGTTCGTCAACCGAATTTGTTTTTTCCATTGTGCCAGCGACTTTGTGTGCAACATATGATGCATTAATGACCTTTCTAGTAAAGCTGTTTGGAGGTAACTCCTAGATGTGATGCAGCAGGTGAATTAAATCCCCAACTCAATGAAAAGAACCAGTCATCTCAAGGTAAGGACTGGCACAAATATCCGCCCCGCTAATGTACCGCAGCATAATAGAATGTTACTTTGACAAGAGTCAAAGTAATTGTATCAACAAACAACAAAGCAATAAGACATTAAAAATATGGTTGGAGGAAACAGTCTGGAAAGGTATACAATAAGAAATATCGGGACTCTGAGTTCAGTTTTTGACGTTAAAATTAATTAGATGTTAACTAAAATTTGGGGATTGGATATAATTCTATCTAAATGTTCTTAGTCACTGAACTTCCCAGTTCATAAAAAACGACGAGTCCTCTAAATAAAATTACAGCGTGACCAGTTTGACTAATGTACTATTTGAAATATTAGCTTCAGTAGTTATTTGTTACTAGAGCTTGTAAAGTGCAAACCCTGGAAAACCTGAATATGGATATATGGACCATATATTCACCTTTCAAGAGGTCCAGGAGCATAAAAATGATTTTGGACCTCCGACCATAGTTATACTCCTCAAAATCGATCGGCTCTGTTGGCCGACTTTTTTGTCAGTATCTGTCATTAAAAGTTACCAAAGAACTACTTCAACTTCGTACAGACTACTAAGAAAGTACAGGTTGAGACAAAGCTTATCCCAAACTGTCAACATCAACTAATGTTCTTTAAGGTGTCCACCTTCTCCATTTTATTTAAGCTTTTCATAGACATACCTCTGAAGACAACACTCCCCTAACTCTAGTGATTGACCTCGTAACAGATCTACTTACGTAGAATACCCAGAAAATACAATTCTGTTTGGTGATGTTGATTAAAGTCTGAGTCCTCTGACCTTTGCGCAGCCATGTTTAGGATGTTTCTCTTCTAGATGCAAAACGCTACTTCAGGACTGGTCTGCACCAACGCCTAAACTAATGTTAGGGAATAAAGTATGTCAACCATTTCATTTATCTTGGAAGTCTCATGAACCCCGGTGGGTTGGCGTCTGGTGGAATCTTAGAACAGATTCAGAAAGCTCGGTTCGCTTACACTAACTTCCGTCACTTGTGGAGTAGGCAAATGCCTGACCACCAAACAATGATCGAGTATATTGTCCAGTAGTTATTAGACTCAAGGTACTGAGCAAAAATAACAGATCATTTGATAAGATTGTGGATATTTATCGTCTGAGATGCTGTAGACGTGTATTACGTATGTCAGTTTTCTTTCACACGCGATGTTGGCTCATGCAGAAGTAAATCGAAAGACTGGGGACGGCCAAACTAAAACATTGCATCAGTCTCTGAATTTGTTGTGTTGCAGACGGCTCATGTGTTTATGCTCGAAAATATGACCATTAATTTGTCATCAATAATCTTGAGCGGACATATTTCCATGCAATGTCCTATATTGTAATGTGTGTGACTTTAGTTCTAAAATCAGTTATTAAGATTGAGGCTCGTCTTCTTTCACCTGCCACACAGTCATCAGGATTCAAAAAACCGAGATACATAAATCTTGATCTTTATAATTTGCTTACCTAAAACTCCATTTCGATACAGAAAAGTTGTTAATTGAAGGTCATTGAACCAGTAATAAACATATAGTTTGTCTGATGAGGTTACTCGCGATCATTTATCCACGTACCCATCCATTTACGCAGTCACCGCTGTTTATGTAAAATCATGGGATAATGAAGGATAATGAAGTTAGTCAGTCCTAATCCCTCGTACATTTTGTCTCGTCTGAATTTTTTATTTCCAGTTTTTCTTCTGGGTTCGGTTGCTGATTTTCATAATGTTTTATCGTGACTCTTCACTGTCGTATTATTTGAAGAAAGTAGATTGTCTGTGAATACATATATAAACACAAACCTTGTTTTCATGTTTTCTCTTTAGAGCATATTGTGAGAAGCACCACATGAAAACTCTAAATACGGCAGATTTTGGAAAGGTCATGAAACGCGCATTTCCAAATGTAAAACCACGACGTTTGGGTCAACGAGGACAGTCTCGGTGAGTCTGCTTTTTGCACCATCCTCGCCGGTTACTTTTTAAAAAAGCAATTGTATTAAAACATCATACTAGTCGTACAAAGTTAGTTTATGAAGCATTGCTCTTCATTTGTTAACGTGTAGAGTTTCCAGTTTCTCTCATTTGATTTTCATAAACGTCTAGATTATTCCAGGTGTTATCAGTAATTCTGCAATATAATTGATTTGTTACTTATTGAATCTCAATCTCAGCCTCACTAAACAATCCTAGTTCTGTTGAATTTGAAATATATTCACTAGTACTTATTTTTATGAACAAAAACATTAGTACTAGGTGGCACCAAATACATATGCACCACATAATGTCAATGAGGTGAAGAAATAGAGAATGTAAAGTGCGTCTAATAAAAGGACAACAGCGAACAAAAATCAGTGTATGAGAGTAAAATAATAGTAATAATGGGAGAAGCAGTTCTGTCAGCAAAAATATAACCGAAAATAATTCTTTCAATTAAGAAAGTCACGTTCACTTTTATGAGGAAAGTAAAAAAAGCTACAGTAGAATCGCTGCTGGCTTCTATTTTGATCCATGTCTGATAACGTCTCTAGCTCACTCTTAGGACCCCGACTAGGGAGTCGTGAAGAAACAACAGAAGCCAGCCCTGTACAGCTTTCTTTCATACCATTACACCATGTTATACACCGACCACCTCTTCACTTTTCCGACCAGTCGCAGTCGTCAAATAATGCATAAAGATAGAAACAACTGTCGACTCATTCCATGATGTTGGTACGCTCTCTAGCTCCCGAACCTTTGTAAAAAAAACTCGGTCAGTTCCCTAACGAGAAAGTTACCACCGTCTTTAAAAAGGGCTGGAGGTACGTCTTCTATCTGGGCCTGGTAATTTGTGGCGCTTCATGAGTTGTATTTCCTCGCGAACTTCCGTCTCGTTAGATGGATCGGTCGTCATAGGCCATGGAATGTAGGACAAGTGATTAATGTTGCTGGGGCATCAGACCAGTTGAACTGCTTCTCGAAAAACTTTACCCATCGTCCGAGACGTCGATAGATGTTCGTGATTGGCATCCCGTCATCTTCACAGATTGTTTCACTCACACCAGACTTCTTGCTGCCAGTGACTCAAATAAGTTGAAAGAGCTCCCGGCAGTTAACAGATGCAGCTGCTTCTTCCAACTCATTAGCACGCTCCGATCACTAGGCTTCTCGGTCCTTACGCAAGCTTCGCCCAATTTCATTACGTAACAGCTTTTGTTTGTGGCCATACTCGTGGTCACCTGGAGTAGACCTACAGGATTCAATGAGCTATAAGAAGCCTGAAAAAACCTAGTGCTTATAAACGGGACGTTTCGTGAAGCCACAAGCGTCTTTACTCACTATTTTCATGGCGTCATACAATTGCAACCAATGCTCATCTATACTTTTTGGAGGGATAGCAGCTAGCCTTGAACCTAGCTAGGTTTGATACTTAGTTGCAACAGAAGCTGCAATCAATTTACTAACATCGATCTGTTTAAAACGATGAATTTGTTGATCATTGAAACGTGAGGTAAGATTATCGCAAACAAGAGCATGATCAAAGTCCAGATAGGTACTCCAAAAGGAGGGACAGTCTTGTACACAACCACGCCAGAGGTAGCTGATCATGATGTGATCAATCTGAGTCCAGGCTTGGGATTCAGAGGCAGGACGCCAGGTGGCACATCGACGATGACTGTGCCGATAGTTATTACTAGCTTAAAACAGATTGTAGACTGTGTACAGTTTCAGTAGACGATCCCCGTTATCTGACTTGCAACCAACAAATCCCCATCGGCCACCTAAACGACTCTGTTCTGTGCCTAGACGCCCAACCTGAGTGTTCAATTCTCCGGCTAGTACTGCGATATCTGTTGAACACACTTTCTGAAGAAGAACAGTTAACTTGTGGTAAAACTCATCCTTGTGGCATCTGGGCTGCAATCTGTCGGAGCAGAAGCGGAGATGACAAAGAGACATCGTTCTTCACACCGGTTTCTCTGCACTTTCTGGAACTTTCTAATCTAACAACATAACCGATTGGTAATTGGGAACTAATTTGTGCTGCCTCAGTTCTAGCGCTTAGTGCGACATTAACGCCAACAAAACCAGAAAATGCTACAGGGTCCACAGATAAACTGACGCCAAAAAATTTTTTTAAGCCATAGGTGGAGAGCGAATTTGTAGTACTTCATTAGAGTCTTAAATACGGGTTTAAGATAGAGAACAGTCATCGATATTAAGACTTTCTAAAGACATAGTCAACCCTATCTGTTGTCCGATCTACCTTAGTGTACGAATGTTGAATGAGGCCAGTTTAAATGGTATACGTGGTTTCAGAAAGACTGTTTCAGTATTTGTAGTCGATGGTGGCATTCAACTTCCAACCAGTAGTGTCCGTCAAGGCTGTCCACTGTCCCCATTTTTGTTTAACTTCATTATAGACCTGTTGCTGGAAATAACACTCGTCGATTGAATTTACAGGAATTGATCTCCTACCAGGGGGACCACTAGGCGACTTAGAATACGCAGATGACATAGTCCTGTTTGGTGAAGACGCTGACAAAATGCAGAGTCTTCTGTTGGAACTCAGTAATAATGTCAGGATGTTTGGGATGCGATTCTTCCCATCCAAATGTAAATTGTTACTCCAGGACTGGCCTGCGTCAACACCCGAACTAAGGGTAGGGAGTGAAGTAGCCGAACGCGTTGACAACTTCACTTATCTTGGAAGTCTGATTAGCCCTAATGGGTTGATGTCTGACGAAATCACGGCACGGACTCGAAAAGCTCGTTTGGCTTTTGCCAACTTACGTCACCTATGGCGAAGACGAGATATCCGTCTATCAATTAAGGGACGAGTATAATGCGCATCAGTTCGCTCTGTTCTACTTTACGTCTGTGAAACATGGCCATTAAGAGTAGAAGATACTCGTAGGTTACTAGTATTTGACCACAGGTGCCTTAGGAATATTGCTCGCATCTGCTGGGATCACCGGGTAAGTAATAGTGAGGTTAGATGCAGGGTATTAGGGAACGATGGTAAATCAGTTGATGAGGTGATGAATCTTCATCGACTGAGATGGTTGGGCCATGTGTTACGTATGCCTGAACACCGATTACCGCGACGCTCTATGATGACTAGTACTGGGGATTGTTGGAAGAGAGTTAGGGGCGGCCAAACCAAAACATGGCATCAGTGCTTGAAGTCACTAACTTCTAATCTGAGCCATGTTGGCAGATGCAGACTACCTGGTTGGGGTCCGCGTGACTATCGTAACCAATGGTTGGAGACTCTAGGTGACATGGCTCAGAATCGATCACAATGGCGTCGGTGTATACACTCTTTATCTTCCTTTAAACCTTGAGACTAAAATTGCTTCATAACTTTCTTCCTTCCTGTACTATATCCTTATATACAACCTATAATTTATATACTACTACCACCACTAAATTAATTACTTCTATGAATCCGGTGTTCATCTTGTTGTGCTAACGAGGTATGGCAACTTGGACCGATGCATATATGTACCTGGTCCTACGTTGTAGCTGACTGACTGACTTCCAACCAGTTAATGACTCGTGATTATCTTAGATAGAACAGGGTTTCCACCATAGATGAGCTGCTGTATAAGTTAAAAAAATAAAAAACGCAATATGAGAATAAAGGGGAATACATATGTATAGTATAAAAGAAATAAAAACGAGTGTTATCAAATGATTGTGAGTGGGATTTATCTGAATGTAAGTTAAAGCAAGCATAATTTTTCCAATAGTAATCATCATTTGGTTTGTGTAACGTCTTTAATGCTTCCCGGGTGCCCAAACCAAAGTGGCCTTTCTGCAAATGAATATGACGGTAGTTCACTGATCCAAATCTCCCCATTTCCGAACCGTGATGAAAAAAAAGAGTTTTACAAAAATATCTCTACCCCATACGGTTCCAACTGTGGTGCATATGCATCTGGTGCCCCTTTGTACCAATATGTATGTGTTTAAATAAATAAATAAATAAACAGTTCCAACTCACTGTCGACTTTCATGAAACCATTCTTGTTTTAATTACATATAATTTTCGAAATTTGAAGACTGCAAATTATTTCTGAATTCATTACATCAAGGCATTTACATTGCAGGATCGACACAAGGTAACGTTTTGATATTCCCTCTCCTTGAGGCTGAGGAGTCCCATACTAGGACGAAACGGTCGTTCAGTGCTTACAGGTTTTCAGTGGTCGTCTAGCATTCATCGATTCATGATCTCACTCAAAATTCGAATTCGTCCGTTAATCATAAGTGACTGATCGTTTTGTTTAATATTAATTGGTAAGGCTTCCTCTACTTTGAATCCAAAGTTAAACAGCTTATTAAGACGATCAAACGAGTTACTATCCTCAGACATCCTTGTTTTTAAATGTTCTTCCTCATCGAGAAATTCATCTTAAATCTAGCTGGCAGGCTGACATACGTAATACACGTCTACAGCATCTCAGACGATAAATATCCACAATCTTATCAAACGATCTGTTATTTTTGCTCAGTGCCTTAAGTCTAATTTCAACATTGCTCAATCGGTGGTTTGAAGACACTTGTGACCAAATAATAGTAAGCTGAAAAATATCCCTTATTTTTAATGGTCATGTTTCACATCCAGAAAGTAAAACAGGGCAAACTACTGGACAATATACTCGATCATTGTTTGGTGGTCAGGCATTTGCCTACTCCACAAGTGACGGAAGTTAGTGTAAGCGAACCGAGCTTTCTGAATCTGTTCTAAGATTCCACCAGACACCAACCCACCGGGGTTCATGAGACTTCCAAGATAAATGAAGTAATAATTATAAATAATGAGCCTTATAATAACTTAATATGATCATATTTTATTAAATCTTTTCTGTAAGCGTAAAGTTAAGTATGTACACCCGTTTTTAAAATCAATATCATTATCCTAAGCTATCAGTAGCTAAAGGGAGTTCATGAAATATTTAAATCCATGCAATCGTACTGCAGTTTGGTTTTTTTGTTAATTTATAGTGGAGAAAATTTTTATCCCCTTCATTTAAGCACTATCAGAACAGTGTTTTTTCATTTGAAATTTTGTCTGGAATTTGAGACTGTTTCACTACGTTCTTAGTTCGGTTGACTCACTTCTGCGTGTTATCAAATATACCGAGTTGTTATAACATTTGTAAATATGAAATTTTTCAGTTTTCGACGCACTTGTTTCATATTGATAGAGGTGTGTTATTTCTCAGCTGTTGTATATTAGAATCACTGATTCAGTTTCATTTAATGGGTTATTTACCTGAACTGACTATGAAAATTCATCTATATAGCTCTTGAACACTATCAGAAACTGCTCATTGACTATCATTAGCACTGCTAAACCCAGTGCTACAACGTTCGGTAAAAAATCTCAAACTTTGTCAAGTTCTAATTTTCTGAAATAATTTCCTACCGGCTTGGTTTTTTAGTATAATTCTAATGAACAAACTCCTACTACTATTAATAATCCCTCAAAATTCTTACATTTTCATGCCATAATCCTTTTAGCCTTTTGCTTTCTCTACGTGTAAGTCAATAGCACATTGTCTACCAACCTACGTGACCCTTGATCATTCTCTCCCATCCTTAGAATTTGTTGTCCCGCAGAGATTAACCGATTCGAAATCTTTAATCTATGTAATTTTCAAGCCTTAATATTTACATGGTGGTTTAGTTTGGCTTTGTCTACAGAGTGAATAGTTTGATCCATTTAGTAACAGCTAGGTTAACAAATACGATTATATGTGAAGGGGATAACCATTAACACCCCCCCCCTAACTGAACTATTTTCTTATTGGCTCTTGTAAATTTCATCCATTTCTCTCTCACTCGTATAAATTTAGGCCATTCCTAAATAGACTAAGTCTCTCGAAGTGATGTTTATTCCATTTTAGTTGTCTGGTTTTGTCTGTCACTCATACAAACTGATCCATAAAAGTTTTACACGGTTTTCAGATGATGTTACCTGTCTAGGCGTAATCACTTTTACGATGTAAAGAAACTTATGAGTTGTTAATATTCCAGGTTGAATGTGACCTGAATATTCTTATCATACGTCAGCTAAATTTATTAAATACTTGCGTTTTAACGTACCCAGTAATATGTATGAATTAAAAATTCAGTTCAACCACTAACATTTCGTTTATTTCCAAATCATTGTATGTGGATCACTTTTATAATCTATATTATGTATATTTCCTGTAGAATGCGATTCTTTATAATGTCTGTATTTTCACTAGAGTTGATATTTAATGCTCAATTTTATAAAAATCCACTGTTCATTAAGCATCTGAAATGAACATTTCCCTTAGTAAACTGTAGTTGGTACTAAATCTGAAAACCGGTGTTTTTATAATTGGATTTTTTACACTTGTGTCTCGGTGATCGTATTTCCACCGCTTCGATTGTTGGATTGTCTTTTTAAACACGACGTACAGTTTTAGACAGTTTATACATGCATTTTTCTATGAATTCAACTGTTCTTGGCCCCGTTTTATCATCTGACCTCAAAAATGGAACTGTGTACTAGAGTCGAAATTGTAACACCTTTCTGCTTTGGTTTGGGCACCCAGGCGGTATCACAGCCATCACACAAATCAATGATAACTGCTACTGGTCTCATTGTTGTTGTGTGGCGCATATGTATTTGGTGCTCCATCGTAACAAAGTTTATGTGTTCAAATAAATAAACATAACACCTGACTTTTAGTAACATTCTCCCATACTATATTAATATAAAAAATATTTGCGTCTTCGGATCCCAATATCACTTGGCTCAATTGATTAATTTCTTCACATATCCTGTCATCGCTTTTAAAAAACACTAGTTATGGAATATGTTTGGCCATCTGCTTTATATATTGTAAACAATATCAATTTCGTCTGGAAACTATCTTAGTGGTTAAAGCTCCTGAGTTTCAATCATCAGATAGTAGGTCCATACCTATCACCCTACTTCGGTTCGGAAGGCTGGTGAATTACACTAACACTCACACACGAAATTGTTGTTCAAAGCTTTATATATAAACACTGTACTCGGTAATTAGTTTCCTTAAAAATAAATTAACAAAGCATTAAGATTTCTCTTTATGCCTTCTAAATTAAACGTTTAAGTGTTGGAACTATTACATCAAGTATTTATTTTTCCAAACAAATACTCGTTCCCTTTGCTTTGTATGTTTATATTTGTCTGTATACCCTGCAAGTTATATTAAAAATTTTAATTATTTAAAAACCTTTCTCTTAAATGGGAAATAACGCTTTACAAATCTTTATACCAAATCATCTTGAATGCAGTTTGAAACAAATAATTACATCATCTTTTAGTTTACATATCTATTCAGTTTTTTAATGTTTGCTATTTTAGATACTGCTATGGTGGAATGCGTAAGAAGACAGAAATCCAACCACCCTACCTACCTGATCTCACCAATGAAGCTCTTGGTATTAACTCTCAAAATATATCTGGAAGATCTGTTGGTTCACCTGGAAGTAGTTCTGGTGGAAGCTTCGAAGCTGGATCTCAAAGACATATGTCATCAAACAGTCCACTAATTCGTCTTTTAAAATCCAATGGACCTGATGCCGATACTAGCAGTTGGGCTGATGATCCGTCTGTGCGAGCTGTTCTAGGAATTCGTGGTTCTGTCGTTGCAGACGTGGCTCATATTCTCCTGGAATATGGTCACCAAGTTTTTGGCATACAATTCAAGTCGCTCTTTCAGCTTGCCCAACATCTTGTTGCTAACCGTTATGTTAATTCCAGGTCCAAACATGCTTTTGCTTTGATCGCTCATGCTGCTAATCCTCCGAGCTCCTTTTCACCACCACCCTCTACAGCCCTTGCTGAAATGCTTCAAAAAGGTTCGTTAATCTATTTATTAACTCAAATGTTTAAGTTCTCATCAAGCAGGAGACCCATGAATTTATCATATATTTCTTGTAACATATTTACGTCTATCAGAAAATCTACACAAAGTCCCTCTCGTCCTTCAGTCGCATGAAATCTGTCTGGCTTATTCAATCCACTAAGATACTGCAAATGGAGTGGCATCGTTTAGCTAGCATGGCTTATAGTATTGGCTGAAAACAGTGGACTCTGATTCTAGTTTCTACTGTGTTCTACTCGGCTATTCGTTTTTCTATTTTTACCTTTATAGCTTCAACTTATGGTCCACATTCATGATACATCTCAACAATTATTTTGTAATCGTACAACTTTAAAGGTCACATTTATTCGTTTTATTATTTTCACAACACTGAGTTCACACCTGTCTGATTTACATAGATAATCAAATAGCTGAATGTTTTTAGTCTTTTTTTTGTTCGGTTTTGTAACATATCCACTCGATTTGATAACCTGATACGTCTAAATATTCTAATTTATATGCAAGAACCATTCTCTTTGCATAAGTAAATAGTTCACATAATGATGATATATCAACTGGTTAATTGGCAATTCAATTTGTGAAACACGACGAATATATGTTTGTACGCAACTTTTAAAGTTAGAGTATCATAAAATCACTTGTCAGATAAACTAAGTATTATTCGACATAATAACGCTTTCTTCCTCTATTGTCGCTTGATTCACTATTGTGATTTTTCCCATTCAGTTCACCTGTTTCACCACTCAATCGTTTTGTATTGAGCTGAATTTTTCAGTGTTTTGTTGTAATACGTTGTAAACTGAAGTTATAATACACCTGTTACTCAATGTTCATTACCATTAAGTTTCAGCATATGGAGCTCACCAGTCTATAGCATTACCCATTATCTTCCAATTTGAACATCTAGATAGTTTCATCTTTACACTAAAAAGATCAGTTTCCCTATACACGACTAATCAGTTCCTAATGCAATTTTTATGATGTTCGGTCATTTATTTTTGTTCTTTAGAGATTTTATCAAGTTAAAACAATAATTAGACAATTTTCAAAACTATGTTTACATTTTGTTAAATGGTTCAATTTTTTTTATAATTCAGGCTCTGTTAAATCAGCATTCGGTAAAATACAAAACAAACGTCAGAATTCATCTACAAGTGATTTATCATCCTGTAAATCGGAATGTACTAAAAATGAAAGTAGGTTATCTAGTTTTAATATTTTAACTACTGAGATTTTAAATACGACTATCAAACCTAAATACCTTTTCTAAATGATTGAATTTTTAGGTCAATTGTTAAGTGGGTTGTATTTAATTCTTATTTTCTGCTACATCGCATGTTAAGTACTAATTTAATGTTTTAATTAAATGATGGGTATTCTCATGAATTTCTGATGTTCTGTCGTAGATATGACCGACTGATATGATTTCATAATTTTTAATAATTTAAGAGACTTCCTGAAAGGTTATTTTACATTTGATCTCTTTTAAAATAGATATACTTCTTTACCCTTACCTCATTGTCACAACTTAGATCGGTGATCAACAAAATGATATGTTTTGATCGTCCATTAAACACCTTGATTTACGTTTGTTTATTATTCTTGTTTATATTGAAACAATCCTTTAGATTCTATCATTCTAATCAATTGATCTTACTGTATCACAAACATTAAAAGAGTGATTATGTCAATCTACATACCATGAGTTTTTTTTGGGGGAATTTATTGAGCTATTCAATCAATTACCTTTTTAATTTTAGTTATAATTGTACTGCTTAAAGAGCTAAAATTACAATGTAAAAATATCCACATTGCTTCTATGTAATTTATTTACAAATTTCTATAATTTTTGTACTTCAACACATGACAATTATTAATCATTTTACATTTATAGGTTTTCATGCACCTTCAACAAACAATGTTGACTCCCCAGTCACTAATGTTCCTCGGTCGACTGTACCAGATAATAGACATTTAAATCTTCCTATTCCTAACCTGAATCATAATTTAAATAATCATGGATCATCATCTGTTCCACCTTTCATTGCTTCTGGCGATAACCCTGCTATGCAAATGCCTCATTGCAGTACTCCTCAACGTGGTAACTGTTACAAGCCATATGAACTACAGACTTCTTTACCACAAACTAGTGGGGTTGGTGCATATACAGCTGCTGCTCTAGCATCTCCGTCTGCATTGCAGTCTTCCAATCAGCAATTGTCTAATAACCCGTTCAATTTTACTCAGGTATTCTACCTTTATAGGTTATATAGTTCATATAGATTATTAAAGTTTCTTTCCTCCCTTAGTGAGTGAATCTACCTAGGTGGGTTGGGGAACCCTGATTCCATACCAAACAGTGCACTTGGGCACCAGTAACTTGAGGGAAAAAATGGCACATGAACCAATCGTTGGTCACCGGCTACCATGGGTCTGCATCTCACGATGCTCCACTGCCTTGTGGGTCAGACCTTTGGGTCAAAGGCTCCGGGTGTGGCTCCCTAAGAAAACCACCTGCTTCGGTCTGGGCAACCGGGCAGTATCATAGCTCTCACACAAAATGAAATGACAATTTTTGTGTGACATATATGGTGCCCCCTAAGTTTATTGATATATATTCTCAGTTTAGACACATCATATATATATCAATTACTAACTGCTCTTTTTTTAGAACTTCCGAAATAACGCTATCAATCATCCATATTCCCATAGTGGTGCACCTGGGTTAACGCATCCATCTACGGCAATGGCTTTAGCTGCTGCAGCTGCTGTTGCAGCGCATCAAAAACAGCAGTCTGGTGTGTCGAGCTTTCCTTCATGTGTTTTGGGGTCTAATTTCTCTTCAGCACTTGGTCCAATTCCCGGTCCTGTATCACCATCCATTGATTCACGACACATTACCGCAAACACTAACACATCTACCCCTCCTATTGCTCACAGCGAAAAACATACCAGGTATGATTATCATTCCGCATATGTGTTCTAGAATTGTAAAATTAATATCATATGAAGCTCCTTTTGCTGTTACATATGTGTTTTTAATAATCTGTGTATATCATTGTGCTAAATATAGTAGTATTTTATTCCATACGTGTTGCTGCTATATTTGTTTTATAGCATTTTGGAATCATCCACACCAACGTCTCAACGTGATTCAGCGTATACAAACTTGGGTGGTTATCATTCTCCGATAACAAATAGCTCAATGTATCCAGCCCATCAAATTACATCTCCATATCCTAGATCCCAACAACCGCCTGCCCCACTCCCCCCCGGTGTAGGTGCACGCAGCCCTTATGCCCAAGTGTCGCATCTATCTGCAACGAATACAGACTGTAATCAAGTAGGGTTTAAGCGAACTGTCCTACCACATCCTGGAGAAGCCCCAGGTGCATACGAGCCATCGGTATGTTTTACAATCATAAATATGTATGGCTTAAGGTGATTACTTATCTTATTACTTTGAGCCTTGTATTCTTATTGAACTTTATTTTCAAGTAGCATTACAACCAGTTGATTTATATCTGGCGTTTAGCACACGGCAGTCGTACTAAAGTTAGAGGTAAAGATCATACTGTTGCTATAAATTTTGTGAATAAACAAAATTCCCGAAATCATTGATGATGCTAACTCTACTTGTGTATCTGCTTTGAGCAGTTGTTTATCGTAATTTCTCAAAGTACTTCTGGAAAATTTTGGCCGTGAGAATAATATGCCCCTGTTTGTTGAAACTTTGTTACCGACCTTCCTTATTGACATAGTCCTGTTTTATGTGGTTATCATTATTTTTATATAAATGCCTACAGTTTTGACTTTTAGCTCTAAATTCTTTTGAAATATTTTCTATCGTAATCCACGATGTGTAATATTGTCAAATATTAATGCTGATCATTCGGTCTATTTTGATTCGAATGTTTCGATTTCTACTATATTAATCGCCCGCAATACTCCTTGTACAGTTTATTTATTTCTGTACTGAGGAAGTATGCTCTCCAGAGCATAAATGATTATGTATCACGTTCTTTAAATACCGTTATGTGAAGTGAACTCTAGCTGTCACTATGTTCTCTGCTTCCTAGTACTGTTATTTGAGTTTGTTATTAAACTTTTGTCTTCTAATTTACTTGTAGCCACGATTTCACCTAGGCGGTCAAAGTCCCAATAAACGTGCTCGTTATTTATCTACAGCCTCTGGATCGAGTTCTAATTCGTTATCAACAGATGGTCCACCACTCAGTGGTGGTAGTTTTCCAGATGGTAATGAACGGTATTCTGAACAAGTAGCACCAGTCATTACTCACAACACCTCTTTAGCCGTCCCTTCACCTGCAAGCACTGGAAGCAGTTCATCTAATCCCCCTCAAATTCCTAACAACCCTACGGGATATTCTGGATCATGTGGTACTTCACGGCAGTACAGCGTAAACAATCTTGATCAGTCACCATCTATGCCTTCTCCTTATTATCCTGGTCGCTATGAAGGACTTGAAATGCATAGCCCTGCACCACCATCACATGGACTTCTGAGATCTCATCATGTACAAAACAATACCGGCTCGTCGAATTCGTCTTGGAATGTGAGTTTTTTTTAATAAAAATCGTTTGAACGTCCTTATCTCAGTCATTTTTGCTCAACGTCTGATGGTTATTAAAATAGAAAGTTTTACTTTATCCAGTTCATTATCTACACACTAGATAAAATGCAAGTGTCAGGTATTCTCTCACTTATGTTTTTCTCTCTCTTATGTTTTCAACCAAACTGTTTTTACTCTGATGGAAGTAAAAATCAGTACAAAAATGAGAAAGATAGAAGACACATCAAATAATAGTAACTGTTAGAAATGAAATTTATTCAAATGAAGTTTTTTGTAGCATGTTGTTAGTTTAACAACCTTCCTACAGACTATTTTAACTTGAAATAGTCAAATATTTACTTTAACATAAGTAAAACATACAGTAAAGGATTTTATCTGATATTCATCATAGTTTGTTGCTTTTTTCCGAATAGACTAAACACATCAAATATTGATGAAAAGTCTAAAAACGAAGATTGCTGTTTTATGAAACATTTCTATAAAAATGATCCAATTTTGAGAAAAGAATCATTAAATACCTACGTTCTTTTTATTCCTTTTTCATACTGTTTAAATAAATTTAAAATGTGTAACCAATTGTTTTATTCTTCAGATTCCTGGTCCATTACCATCTAAGACTAATCTGTTTGACCAGCAGCCATCTGATTATGTAGTGAATTCTAGAAGTCAAAGTTATAACCCCAATCTTTCTGTTTCAACCTCTGAACGTACAAATGTCGCTACAGTGTTTCGTCCCCCAATTACTCCGTTCACTCTGGAGCTGGAAAGTGAAGACGATGGAGATAACTTGCCTAGGTTAGGCACTTCTCCAGGACCACAAATACCTCCTAGTTCACCTACAGAGTTTTTGCCGTTTTACTCTGAAGCTGCTAATAAATCTGCTCAAGCTCAACTACGACAGAAACATTTTACTGAACTTACTCCAAGAATTCATAATACACCAGATAGTGACGATCGTGGAACCAATTCTGATAACAGTTCTCCGTGTATGACGCTTGTAAATCGAGAGCGATCAGATATTCGAAATAATTGTCATATTAAATCTAATGATTTTGCAACTACTTCTTCAATGACCAATCCTGTTTCACATTCTGACGAGGTTTTGTCCCCATGCTCATCAGATTCAAACGACCGTACTTTAACTATTCTTGACAATTTAGGGGAGGTAAACACGCCACCAATGCCAGATGGTTTGGCTAATGCACCTTCTCCAAGCGAAGTAATAAAAACTAGTTCTATGGTGCGGAAGCGTAAGTTTTCATGAATTTGTTAGTTATAATGATATTTCGTTGTTTAATTTTTCATTGTTGGTTCAGTTCAACAATCAAGTACAAATCAACTAATTTCTTATTCATATCATTTTGCTAATAAATAACATTCAAGTGTTTTATATGGAACCATACATAGCATTTAGTTTACTCTTATTAATTGGTTTATCTGATTCCCCTTGACTTGTTGTTTTATGTTATTCCAAGTCGGTGAATTTCGCACACATGACGTTATTAGAAATAAAGCGGATTTCACTGCATTTTCAATAGTTTGTCATGTCATTTCAATTTTCTTGTAACTTGTCTTCACGTTGTACTGCTGTCATCACCAAGAATAATAACCAAATGAGGTTTCGACAAGAAAAATAATGCAGATTATTGATCGTACATAATAAAATAAGTCCTTAGTTTATTCTCGTTTCTTGCATTGGTAATCAGTTGTATGAAATAAAAATGCTTCGTTATTGCTTACATACTTGTTAACGTGTATGCATGATAATAACGAACTATACTTGTGTACATAAGTAATATATACCTAGTTACTTATCCTCATATAGTTAGTATGATTGTCATGTCCAGAATTATCACTTTTCAGACAACATCGTGATAGTTTTAAGAGACTTAGGTTCTGTAATGTGTTATATTTAACCCTGCAATTCCATGTTCAGTTTGTAAGCTGTTCAAATCTCAATAAGCTGGCCTAACATTCTAAGACTAAGTAAATTCTTGATGATGATTTTACTGTTGCAAGCAACTGATAAAAAAGTCAACCAAAGCTGCAGTATCCGTTCAACAGGAAATATCAGTCCCAAGTTATGATAAAAATGGTTAATTTATAAATTATTTATGTTTATAATTACTGATTCATGTTTCAATCTCATCCGTATCGTGTAGGTGAAGAATTACAGCATGAATTGAGCACTCCTGGTCCAGCTGATGGAAGTAGATCCCCTTCCTGTCCCAGTAACGTAAGTTCTCTTAGCTTTGTTTGACTACATAGTTTTGTAATCTCCATATTTTACATGTTCTGTGCTATAATTATATTACTACCTAGATAAGGCTGTATCATTTCTAAATGGTTTAGCTCTTCATCTTTCATTTTTTTAGTTGTTTTGTATAAGAACTAGAAGTGCTTGCTTTTCTTGTTAACATTTTTCGTTCATGCGTATTATTTCCCATCTTACTAATCTTTCACACTCTTCTGTTCGTATGAATCCGTTTTTTGAGAGCGTCAACCAACATCTCATGTAATTGACAGGATGTGTTGGGTTTATCTGACTCTAACCACGGCATAGAACACTTCAAAATTCAACGGTGTTTTGGAAAGTTCCTAAAATTTTGCAGTAACTAAATAATTGATAATAATCAGTGTCAGTCAGTATGTGACCCTATATCTAGACTTCGTGACAATTAGCCATCATTAGCACAACATACCTGCGATCTCGTGGAATCCATATCCAAGTCACTTTCAGATATTATCATCGGCCGATAAAGATTGCAATTGACTTTCCACGGTTAAATTATTAACATTGACAACCGACTAGTATCCAGTGCCATCCTGGTTGAGACCTTATGGTTAACCGAACTCCATCCATCAAATATCACTACAGAAACTGATCTAAGTATCTTGACATCACGTGCAGTATGTTTGGATATCGACTGTTGAAATGCAATCGACCGATTGGTAATAAAACCGACTCTATTCACTGTGTTTAATGTAATACGAGATCCTGAGCTTACGGAAAGCTTTGGTAAAGTTGTATCCATTCATTCTTACTGATAAGTGGTGTAGGTACTCAACCTTCAGTTCATGCCGTTAAGTGTTGTCTCGTCCTAATTTTGTCTTTAGAAAACGCTATTGTGACGGTTGACATGCATAATCAGCACAGAACCTGGCGCAGATTCGTCTTGGCTCAAGTTACCATACCAGATTAACACGACGACGAGACAAGAATAACAAAACAGGTTGAAATAATGTACAGTGATACAAAATAAGACTGAATCTTGGAAATATGGTTTGAAAAGGCAGTGTGGAAAGGTATATGTAGAGAAATATTGAGACTCAATGTTTACAGGGTTATACAGCGTGAATGAATTTTTGCTACTGTGACTGATTCCAAGACATCACCCGGTCTCCAACCACTGGTAACGATTATAGTGCGGACTACAACTAAGTAGTTTGCACTTACAGTTAATAACTTCATGGACTGATGCCACATTTTAGTTTGGTCGTTCCTAGCTTTCTTACTTCTGCTCTAGAAAGCGCCTCTCGTCTAGGCGGGTGTGGACAGTCATAGGTAACAAGTTTTGGCCACATCAGTCGTTCTTAATATAACCTACTCCAACTTCAACATTGCCTCCTTATTCATCCCATGAAAAATAAACAGTCTTTCAGAAACCTTCATAGAGCACATTTTAAATCGACAAAGTAGAAGTAAGCGTACTCCTGAAGGTTTTTGTAGCTGTTGTATTGGTACTTTCTAGGAAAAACGTTTGACAACTAAACAGTAGACCAGACTTTTGGTTTCTCTTTGTAAGCTAAGCTTTTTGTTTATATAAAACTCGCCAGTATTTTCTATCTTTTTTAGTCAGGCTCAGTTCAGTGTTCAAGTTCAGCAGATGTGAGTATCACAGCGTTTTGAATTTCGTGTGTTCGTTTCACTACGAATATATCGTCCGCATTTACTTATTTTTAATTCAGTGTGTTATTATTGAGAAAGTATTCCATGGATGAACACGCTTAGTTCATTTTTTGAATCGTTCGTCTCGTGATAATTCTGGACAATAAACAAATACACAAAATGACAAACTCTCTAGATTCTTTTTGACTTAGCAAACGCTATTCTACCTCCAAAAGGTTTTAATAGGCATTACTTTATTTTTCGAACGTTAGAATCGGTACAGCTTTTCACATTTCACCTTATTTTTTTAAATACGCTTTTGATATGTACATTTTTATATAACGGTTGTTTTTCTGTATCTGTTTGTGTTTGGTGCATTCCTCTTTTATAAACTATTTTTTCACTTGGTTTATGAAAACAACCAAAGAGTCTTTTACATTTATATCCTATCAGTTATATAATTTAATCAGATTCTCAGCTTCCGCTGTTGTATACTTTGGATAGTTTTCCTACAATCCATAAGATAAATTACAGTGAAGTTGTAGTTATAAATTTTCCCATTTTTACTGTTTCTGCATATACCAAAGTTTTGTAGTTTCATATTTGACCAACTGAAAAGCCTGTAAAGTTTTTTCTCTATGTTTTGGCTCAAATACCAGTCATCTTCTTGAGTGTGAAATTAAATGCATTTTATTCAATCAAATTGGCTTATATTTAGGTTCCTTTGAATGGTAATTATAAATTAAAGAATAAACTACATTTCTAATAACAAGTTAGCTTATTGTTTCATTATGTATCTGTATTGGAGAACAGACAGTCATTAGAGACCTTGAATTATCTCGCTGATATTGCTGCACAAATGGTCCTCAAGATATTTTATTAATAGTTGCTGTAACGTATAGTTTATCGAAGATTCGTACGACATGCCAAGTATGTAGGTTACTATTGTACATAGAAATTGACCGACGGTATTTGACTGTTCCTGAGTTCAGTTCGAGGTTCGTGTTCCTTAATGACACCAATAAGTCACAATCATATGTCTTGTGTCACGTGTTGATTTTTTGGACAGATAACTGTACGTCTCCAAACATTGGAGCTATCCATTTGAGAAGTTCCTATACTACTCCAAATGGCTTATGAAATGCCCAAATTCTAAGTGTTGAGGGTCATCTCTTGGCTTAATGAACATAATACCGCGACTTGATGGATATAAGTCTGGAGGGTTGGAGTGATTATCCCTATTTTAGGTGTCACGATTCCCACCATAAGTGTTTTTGTGTCCTCGACCGTTGCTGCTACTTTGACGTGGTGGTCAGGCTCGCCTATCGTGATGAAGCAATCGAGCTATACTGGATGGAAAAATCGTTCCTCAAGGTCCTTCCATGCCAGACAGGTCGGTTGAAGAGCGGTAAGACTAAAAGCAGCAATCCCAAGGTCCGAAGGCGAAGTCGTACTGCTGACTGTAGAGGTGTGAAAGCAGTAAGGTGTTTCCTTCAGACAACCAGCATGACAGCGATGCTGCCTTCCCACAAGGAGGGGTGGGGTTAGAAAAGGTCGACCCTAAAAATGCACACCTCGCCTCATCCCACGGATATCCGTCTCCGGTGGTAAGGTTCCAACAAGTACGGAGCTAACACAAAAAGGTCGTGTGTGACCGACCTCAAGCAGTTGTCCCTTGGGCACTGCGGTCACGCTCTCAGGTCATTAAGACCACTTCTAACCCAATTTCCTATTTAGGTACCTCTTGAACAACCCTTCCATGGTGTGGGCGACCGGGAAGTGATAACAGCACTTAAGATCACCGTATTTATAATCAATGTCCTTCAATTCCTCCTACCTCGACTTCCAACACTAAACTTCCTCTCTCGGTTTCCTCCCCAAGTGTCACCATGACCAACAGTTTCAGTACGGGAAACGCTGTCCCAGGTCTACTAAAACCTCTCTCCAAACTGCACATTGGAGCTATCAACGTTCGTACCCTGATTCAAATCGGTCAACAGGCCTCCTTGCCTAAAACCCTAGATTCTCGTACGATTGATGTATGCTGTGTCTCCGAAACACGCATACAGAATCCTAGTCAGGATATTCACTTGACCTCACCTTACCAAAATGGACAGCCAACGAAATACACCCTCCGTGTATCTGGCGACCCCATGACTAGTTCTGGTGGACTTTCATGTGTAGACATAGCACTTAGTACGAGGGCGAAACAAGCACTACTACTATGCATCCCCGTTAACAGTCGTATGTGTGCTGTCCGGATAAATGGCTTCGGAAGGACAGGGACACATGTTGCTTTTTCGTCATTTCTGCCTACGCTCCCACTGACTGCATCCCGGGTGAAGTGAAAGATGACTTTTACAGAAAGCTTTCTGAAATTTTTCAGATAGCTAAGCGCTCAGACATAGTACTCGTAGCGGGTGACTTTAATGCCCAACTAGGCAGCTTAAATCAAACAGAAAGATATCTAGGTTGCTATTTTAGTATTCCGGCTCAACAAACCGATAATGATGATCACCTGTTGTCGCTCGTACTGAAATACATGTTTAAACTCTGATCACACCTTAATACGAGCACGCAATTGTCTGCGCGTCACTGGACACAGGAAAACTACACTAAAAAGTCAATAGGATTGAACTGGAGGACGAGAAATCCAAATGTAAATTCCAGGAACAACTGAGTTCACATCTAAGCAGTTCTGTAGACGAGACTAACCCAGATGCTGCTTTGAAAGACATACGAACAGCTGTGGAAACAGCAGTCACATCTATTAGTAATTTTAACCATAGGCTTCCAAAAAACCAATGGATTTCTTCCATGTCTATTTCACTGATGGGTTCAGGTAAATTCATCCCATCAGGCTCTGAACACGACGAAGAGCGTAAACGTATCAGATCTAGGTTAAATAAAAGTCTAAGGAACGATCGTGAGCAGTGGTGGGCAACGGAAGCAAAAAGGCAGCGGCTGTAGACAACTCTTCAGACTAATAAAAATTAATAATTCAAGTGTAAGTGAAACGATCTCGGAAAATGACTGAACCCTTATCAGCTCTCAGCCCAGATGTTTAGAACGATGGGCGGAACATTTTAAGGAGCTCTACAGTTACCCACCATTCCCAGACAGTCTGAATGGAACGTTGAAGTAGGCCTCCCGACCCTACCTGGAGTTCAAAAGGCTATAACTAATCTGAAACGAGGAAGAGAAGCCGGTCCAGATGGATTGACTCCAGAAGTCTTTGAATATGGTGGTCCAACTTTAACGACTAGGTTGACTAACATTTTGGCTAAAATCTAGGAGACGGACGTAATCCCATCCGACTGGTCACAATATCTGATTGTCCCAATATATAAGAAGAGGCCAAAATCATCCTGTGATAACCATAGAGGGATTAGTCTGACTAACAAAGTATCTAAAATACTAGCCTCAATAATTATCGGGCGCCTACCTAATACTCGTGAACTGCAAACACGAGAAAATCAGGCTGGCTTCAGACCTGGTCGTGGCTGTATCGACCACATATTCACCATTCGTCAAGTTTTAGAGCACAAACATGCTTATCGGCGTCCTACAATGATAGTTTTTCTTGACTTGAAAGCAGCATTTGACTCTGTAGACCGAGAGGTTCTGTGGCAGTGTCTGTCATTAAAAGGTGTACCTGAGAAGTACATAAACCTTGTGAAGTCTCTTTGCTCCAAAAACACTACCAGTCGAGTGAGAGCTTATGGCGAACTGTCATCTGATTTTACAACCTCAAGTTGTGTCCGGCATGGTTGTTCACTATTTTCATTTCTGTTTAATTTCATCATACACCTACAGTTGGGAATAACACTCGTCGATTGAATTTTCAGGAATTGATCTCCTACCAGGAGGTCCACTAAGCGACTTAGAATACGCAGATGACATAGTCCTGTTTGGTGAAAACGCTGATAAAATGCAAAATCTTCTGTTAGAATTGAGTAATAATGCCAGGATTTTTGGGATGCGTTTCTCCCCATCCAAATGTAAATTGTTACTCCAGGACTGGCCTGCGTCAACACCCGAACTAAGGGTAGGGAGTGAAGTAGCCGAACGCGTTGACAACTTCACTTATCTTGGAAGTCTGATTAGCCCTAATGGGTTGATGTCTGACGAAATCACGGCACGGACTCGAAAAGCTCGTTTGGCTTTTGTCAACTTACGTCACCTATGGCGAAGACGAGATATCCGTCTATCAATTAAGGGACGAGTATAATGCGCATCAGTTCACTCTGTGTTAGTCCTGGTCTCTCAGCTGATCCAACTTTCTTTTGAAGGAGTCAACAGATGGAGCCTCAACAACGCGCTGAGGTAATGAATTCCACTCGTTGATTATTCGGTGGGAAAGTCGGTAGTCAGTTGACAAGTAATTCGTTCTGGGCTTGTGAACATTTTGGAGTGTCCTCGTAGATTTTCTGTTTTGGAAGACAAGAAAAATGAGGGCATGTCAGGTGCAAATTTGTCATTAAGCAATTTGAAAACTGTAATCAAGTCGCCTGCGATTCTTCTATATTGACAGCGGGAATAGGTTTAGCTTGGTCAGTCTAGTATTGTACGGGAGCTTCGCTATTCCGGGAATCAGCCTAGTTGCTGTTCTCTGAACCCTTTCCAGGAGTTCACTGTCTTTTTTAGGCAGGGGCTAGCTGCTTTTATGCAGTACTCAAGTTTAGGACGTACGAACACTGTATACAAAGTCAGAAACGTTTTAGCGTCAAGATGACTAAAAGCCCTGCGTATGGACCATAAATTTCTAAAACCTTTGGCGGCTATTGCACGGCAGTGTGCAGTAGTCTTCAAGTCTTGACTAACGATGACGCCATTGTGTGCCTGGACAATAGGTAACTCAGTGTTATTCATCGTGTATGTATCTGTACCCTGGTGGCCAATATGCAACACAATACACCTGGAAGTGTTTATCGGCAATTTCCAGGTTTGGGACCATTCAGATAATCTCTCCAGGTCATTTTGCTGTTCTAAACTATCACCCTTACTTCGTATCGCTCTCCATATCTTGACATCGTCAGCATATAGCAAGACCGATGACGATAGTAGACAAGGAAGGTCACTTACATACAAGAGGAATAACACTGGCCCCAAAACTGTACCCTATGGGACTTCACTGAGCACAGTTTCCCAGCTAGACAACTTGGAGTTCACCCTTGCTCTTTGTTGACGCACAACTAGGAAGTCTTTTATCCACATCAATAGATTGCCTTCAATCCCGACATTTCTTAGCTTATATAGCAGTCAGTTGTGCGGAACTTTGTCGAAAGCCTTGCTAAAATCGATATAGGCTACGTTTATAGGTAACTTTTTGTCCTTAAGAGCGCATCAGCTTTCACGAGCGACTAATAAGTTTGTGAGACAAGAGTAACCTGTTCTAAAACCATGCTGCTTTTCCGAAAGGATCCGGTTTTCATCGAGATACTTAAACAGCTCCTTCCGAATAATCTTTTCTAAGATTTTGACAACCACACTAGTTAGGCTAATCGGTCGGTAATTCTCAGGCTTATGTTTTGTACCTGTTTTGAAGACAGGACTTACTATGGCGTTATTCCAGTCTTTTGGTAGACGACCCTGGGTTACGGATAGATTAAAACATACACTTAAAGGGTTCGCAACAAAGTTCCCAAATTCCTTTAGTAACCTAGGATGCAGTTCATCGGGTCCAGTGGATTTGCCTATGTCAAGCTTAACTAGCAGACCAAAGACATCGAGTTCTTTAATGGTCACGCTGTCCAGTGTTTGT